GGAAAAAAATACATGTTTTTCTATTTATTTTGTTTTTATTGAAATTAAATTGTGATAAACGTTAAGATCTAATGCTGCTCTGAACTCTGTTACAACTTAGATATATTTGAAGTGAAGATATGAGCAAGGGAGGGTGAAATCTTGTAAAAGACAATACATACACAATCAGATTATAATACACAAACACGCAGACATATTTAGATATATAAACACGCAAAAAAGCGACGAGACAGGAAATAACTGTCCACGACCCTTAAAAAAAACAACATATGCATACAATGAAAGGCACATATAAGCGATTATACACACATACATTGATAAAGACATGCATATATACACACATTCATTGATAAAGACACGCACATATACCCACCAAGAAATATTCAAATTTGAAAGTGTTATTAAACAAATTCTAACATACTATTAAAATATAACTCATATAGGCAAAGATATATATATATAAAAATGGTTAAATAAATAAAGTTTAATATGGGTACAATAGAAAAACAAATATTCGTCAATGAACAACATAAGGAAAAACAACACTAAAATATACAGAAATGGATAGAAAAATAAATATATACGCATAAAAAATAACACCATCTAATAAATAAAAAAGAAAACTCCTACACACATAAATGTATATAAATATCTCATATATACTTATATATGTATTAGTACACATACACAAGTACAAATATATAACAATATGTGAAAGAAAATAAAGAATACAAATACATATAGACATATGTGTACACACATTCTTCACTACAGTTAGAAACATACAAAAGCATACCGATGCACAAACATATACATAAACATATGCCTATATATACACATATACATACATACAAACATACACACATATATACACCCATACGCATATATACACATATAGAAATAAATATAAATATATCAACCTATACAGCAACATAAAAAGTAAAACTAAAGTAAACTATATATATATATATATATATATATATACATACACACACAGAAAAATATAAATATACATATATACACACATACAAATATATACATATATATATACATAAAAACATATGCATATGCATACATAAACATATACATAAACCTACACATATTCTAACAATATTATGTTAGCGACATTAAAGGACTGTAAAATCCATACAAGATTAAAATGTAATGAGACACAACTGTTGATTAAGTCTACAACCATTATCAAACAAAAGTAGATTTTAGTTAGCATTGATTCCAAGACACTAAGACATACAGATATATATACGAAGATATACATACACACACACATGCAGATATGTACCTAAGTTTACACACTTATACACAAGCACATAAATATATAACCAAGCATATATATAACAGGTATGAATACAATATATAAACATACACACCCATATATATATATATATATATATATATATATATATATATATATATATATATATATATATATATAAATTTAAACGAAAAAAAACAGACCACTTTAAGGTACTATTACAATAATTTATTACACCAGAGTCCTTTTAAAAGGATGCGGATCATCAGATAGCACTTCCAACAACAAAATGAAACGAAAAAATGAGATTAAAATATATATATATATATATATATATATATATATATATATATATATATATACCCACACATACATAAACATATACATGCATACATACATAGGTACACACAAATACAAATATATACATACACACACACACACATATATATATATATATATATATATATATTTTTAAATTTCATATACATATACAACCATCAATAAAAATATACATATACATGCAGAATATAACACAATATATGTATACCAACACATCGATAGGAGGATTATCAGGTAATAAAAGTAATAACCTACTAAACTTATAGTAACATAGCCTTATCATCAAAAGTATTACTATCCCTATAGTAAGTTTAATTTATAGCTGTGTTTACAGTTAACAGTGGGTTCAATTCTTTGATTTAAGAGATGTGTCTTGTTTTTAAATCTAATTATTTCAAATTTTCCATTAAGACATAGATAACAAGGGGCATATAGGGAATTACATGTTCAAGCTCTCTTGATTAATTTCTATTTAACAGTAGGTATCTTGTTTTTCTCCTTTAAACTCAAAAATACTTGGATAATGAAGTCCTGTACTTATAATTACTACTATTGAAAGATTGCATATGTCCCTGCCAACGTTCTTTGAATGGATTCATAGCGCTTCCAATGTAAAAATATTTAAACTAGATAAACTAGAGAACAAGTCAAACATTTATTCTGTAATGGACAATTATTTGGATTCCTACAATTGCACAAGTTGTTATTCGTGTCATATTATATATATATATATATATATATATATATATATATATATATATATATATGCTCCTGAAAAATTTATTTTCATTGAGCTCTCTGGGGAAGGAAATGTTTGTAAACAGTGACTATTATGGCTGATAATGCAAGACTCTTCAGTAAAGCGAATCAAGTCCTCTCAGTCACTGTGTGTTTATCTAAAAATAAATATGCTTAAAATTCATTTTCTTCCCTGCCATGCACCAACAGCTTAGGAGTAAAATCTCTGACTGACACCAATTCAGCTGGGTTTTGATCCTAACTAGAGGCAACCGGACATCTAGCCACACTGAAGAGCTGTGATAGAGCAAAACAGTCTGTGGATGACTATATATATATATATATATATATATATATATATATATATATATATATATTTATACCACCACAAGCCACCAAGATGCAAAGTGTTTATTGAGAGTGACTGAAACTGAGAAAACATTGCTGAGGAGAAATGACAATAAAGAGGAGAGGATTCAAGAAGGCAGAAAATGACGATTGACGTTGAATTTAAATTTTAGAAGATTGTAGTCAACTTAATGGGAATAACTGAGACATCTGGAAAAGGCATGACATGTGGAACTAGAACAATCTACCCTGGTGGCCAAAATAAAGGGTTTACTTCAAAATTCCAATCAGCTGAAGAAGGCCAGAGCATACCATGGCCAAAACGTGAATATGATATGAATTATACCTCATCTCAGAGATATAGACAGAAATTGCCACCTATTCAATAACCACCTGAATAACACAATGAACCGGAAATAAGTGATATTGCTACCCATAATGCCACAATGGCTAACATATATAAATAGCCAAGCTGTAATCCAACCCACATGGCCTGAGGATTGCATTTAAGCATGAAATTGGACTATTGCCTCAATAGTTGACATCAGTGTCTCCACTTTTTATATTTTCACATGCTCTCTCCCTGATATTGAGCACTCTTACCCTATAAATATAGTATACTTTTAAACTATATTTTATAACATATTTATCACTTTAAACGTTATTTTTGGCAGATACTCATATTTGAGTAACATTCCATTTATTTATGAAACAGTATATTTATTTATTTTCATCTACTGGCTCGAATATTCAAGAATATTCAAGAAATTTTATTAAAGTCTCAAACCTGTGTCTGTTGTTAGATCTGGTGTTCTTTAACCAACTCAGCCATAGAGCAGCCTTGCTGATCAAGCATTGTCTGAAATGTGCCTTTAAGCTAAATCCTTCTTGTATTAAATTGCTCAATATATATATATATATATATATATATATATTTAATGAAAAACAGACCACTTTAAGGTACCATTACAATAGTTTATTTCACCAAAATCTTTTTTAAAGTACTCCGGATCATCAGGTAACAATTCCAACAACGAAATGAAAGGAAAAAAATTTTTCCTTTCATTTCATTGTTGGTGAAATAAATTATTGTAAGGGTACCATAAAGTGGTCTGTTTTTCATTAAATATTAGCTCTGTATTCACATTGAGCTGTCAGGATTTCATCCTCCTTGGAATTACCCATTAGGTTTACCAAGTTCTTCATAACTTAACTATTTATATATATATATATATATATATATATATATATATATATATATTTATATATATATATATATATATATATATATATATATATATTTGAAAACTGTTTCATTGACTTGATTACCTTAGATCAGCTTCCTCAGATCAGAATGAAAAGAAATATATGTGTGCTTCATTAATACTTTTTTTTCTGCTAAGCTGGCTGGCATCCCTTGGTTGAGATGAAAGAACAAAATTCGACTTTTGGATAAAAGTAGTTATTTTAATTTAGGCCGTTTCTTTTCTTTTCAATTTCTCTTGCTTTGTTGAAATTTTGTTTTTATATTCTTCCAACTTTTCTGCATTGAATTTATGATAAATCCTTATCCAATTTATCAGAATGGGTTGAAAGTAAAATATTCATATATATTAAGTTTGTCTTTGTGCTTTCGATGTTGACAATGAATTCAGAATAGTCCATCTAGACTGGCTACTTTCTGAATATTAGATACTGTTGTAACCTAGGGAAGGTTACTGAATAGAATAATCAATGGAAGTTGGTAATGAACGATAATACTTAGGACAAGAACAACACATATAAAATTCGCCAGCAATGCGTAGAGAAAGTACTCAACTGCTAGAAGTATCAAGTGAATTTCACAATGAATCTCCAACTGCAGACCAACATACAGTATTTAGTACTATATTTATGTGAACGGGGACATACCCATCTTCATCCATAGGTATGCTACAGATACTAAGTCATAAAACAGATCTGACCATTAGATATTAAATCATAAAATGGACTATTTTATGCCCATAAGATATTAAGTCATAAAACGATTTCTCATTCTAAACCACAATCCATTACACCACTCACATCGACATAGTGGACATCTCTGAAAAAACAAATGCATACTCAAAATATGATTCAATAAGGTTAATTTTGATAGTCCCTACTGTCATAAAACATCAAAAATCTCTTTGATATTTCCTGTTTTTTCTCCTATTCATCAACACAAGTAAAGAAAGTAATTTTAATTATCTTGTAAATTCAACTGCAAAAAAACAATCCACATTTTTCTTTAGACAATATTACACAATAAAATTGTACTTACTCAGTTACCGTTCCGGTTCCCACAGCTTCTGCAAGCTTTGTCGCAGCCTCTGACATACGCACTTTCTTTGCATGATTCTTTCCCTGGTAGTGCTGTGTAGCTTGTTTTGGTGAGTTGAAACAAGCATCACAAATTTTGCAGTAAATCTCTGAGTTGAGTTCAACTGTGGCAGTAACTATACTTGTGCCCGACACTGGAGAAATGGTAGTAGTTGTAGTAGTAGTAGTGGTGGTGGTGGTAGATGTGCATGTTGAGGGGAGAGTGGAAGAAGCAGTTGAGGTTGTAGCAGTAGAAATGGAAATGGGAGATGAGGTTGGATTTGGTTTGGTAATACTTGTTGTTTTTGTCGGGTTGCTATCTGTAATACTTGTGACTAATGTGTTGGCAATGGTCGTGGTTGCCTGCAAAATGAGAATAGAACAGAAAGATTATATTAAAATGAATGAAACAGTGCCAATGTGTTCTACACTACTTAAATAGAGTGGTCCACTCATAAAAAAAATAAGGAACATTTCTTTAAGAAAAGATTGTTCTAGATTAACATTCTTTAGACTGTGACACTTGTCAGAATTGAAAAATATTGATTTTTTTTTAGAAGTGTGGGCCCTGTTATACAGTTTTAAACTAATCCCTGAATTTTACAGAGTTATTGGCCTTAGACTAAGTTGCTTAATTGTTAGTATTATTTAAAGTTAGAAAATGTGATGATACCATTTATATTGGCAAATTTTTTTTTTTTTTATCTTTTTTGAAAATCATTTTTTAAACTTTTTTTTTTTAGTGGGGGAGATTTTTTTCAGAAACACATGCACAAACCTTTGAGGTATATAATTATTTATCTTAAACTAAGAATAAACAGATATATACTTTTACTAATTTAGGTAAATTTTTGATTTTTATATCCTAACTGCAATTACTCAAAGAATTAGTGAAAACAAATACATCTCAAGGATGGTCACATTAGATATTTCAAAGGCCTTTGGCACAGTGTCGCATAAGGGGTTACTGCTCAAGCTCTCTAGCTATGGAGTCACTGGAAGAGTTTTGTCAGTTCTAAAAGTCCTTTCTAATTCTCAATAGACTTCAAAAGCATCTACATATCCTTTTCCACTCTGCAAGTTCTTTCTCACAGACGAGATGTTGCACTGCTTTATCTCTATTTCCATGGAGATTGTTCACATGAACAGTCCCCCCCCCATCCTAAATTTCACAGCTAAAACCCACCATGCCACACCCACTGTAGCAAACCACCCTTATTTCCTTCATATTCCCCTGGTGAGATATAAGTTCCACTCAAGCACTTTCTTAGCACAAACCACTGCCTTGTGGAACCGACTCCTAAGTGACTACTCTCCAATCACTACAATTTTAACCTGTTCAAGTCTAGGGTTAACCGTTATCTTCCTGACATATCTGCATAAGCTAAACCTATTACTCTGTAATCCTCTACGTCAAATGACCCCAGGGCCTTGTACAGGATGAACACCACTGTAAAAAAAAAAAAAAAAAAATCTGTTCATTATTTAAGAGAAATTTTTTGTAACTCCACCTCAAAAAATAGTGTTTTCATACACAAAACTAAGACTGTAAAAGTCAGGGATTGATTTGACACTCTACAAAAACAGGACCTTACTTTTAAATCAATAACACATCAATATTTTTTTTTCAATTTTGACAAGTGTCACTGCCTAACAAATATTTAAAGAATTTTCATCTATAAAAATTATTTTTTAAAAAGAAACTTTCCCTATATTTTATGAGGGGACCAGCTTATTTAAGTAGTACCATATAATCTTTATTACATAATAAAAACTTTATACAACCACTGCTGGAAAAATAGCAGTGTCTCCAACAAAGTATAGATCTTATGTTAGACATGGCGTTTAAACATTATTTATTCAGCACCTGACACGCTGCAGACAGCAAGATGACCACATTTTAAATGTAAATTGTTTTCACATTTAAAATATTCAAAAATATATTCAGTTTAAATACAGAAAGAGTCATTAAAAATTAATTCAAAATGGCCACACATTTCAGGTTTATATTCTTTTCCTATTACTCCAGGTTTATTGCCAGACAGAAAAGGAAATCAGCCTACGTGATACAGATATTCAATTCAATTTCATTCGAAATGTTCATGTACATTTGCATGTGTACTTTAATTCAGTGATAGACCTAAAAATATTTCTACAAAATATATAGAAAAAATAATAAAAGAAACTTAATTATTATTGAATAATTTTCAAAAACTTTAATATTGTAATTATCTGAATTAAATGATTATTTTGGGAGAGGAGGGTAGGGTAAAAAAATGAAGACTTATTTTTCTTTTTGGTTTGCAGCTTTATGATTTCTCAGCTGAGGGTAGGGTTTGTCTAGACCAATGATTCCCAACATGGGGTGCGTACACCACTGGTGGGGCATGTGTAGGATGTGCACCCTTTGGCTTACTATGCAAACAGAATAAGGAGGGCAATTCAAGAATGAGTTATTAACAGTGAATTGTTTTCTAGTGAGCTCAAATTTTATTTTGCATTATTATTTCATAATTAAAATGATCAAAGTATATTACAGAAGCTTTCATTCAAATATTTTATATTTTTGCCTTTCAGTTCTCTATTATGATTTGAAACTCTATATTCAAATAAAGAAAACAGCAACCAGTGAGTAAATTCAAGCTCTCCCAGCTGGTATTTCAACCTTGAGTCGTTCCTTCTTGAGTTCTGTCTCAAAATTGCACTAACAGACTGTTCTTGCCGCCAACTGTGAACGTCACTCAAAGAACTGCCCCACTGAGAAAAAAGTAGTTGCTTTTATATTTGTCCATATGCCCATAATCCCTTGCGTCTTCATGTGATCCCATAATTTATTGCGTACATGTCCCATAATGCATTGCATCTTTATTGCATAAAAATGCAATGCAAGTCCCCCCTCATTCTTTTACGTTATCTGGCCGAGGACGAATTACGGCAGAGCGGTAAGTGCTTTTTTCTTCCTCATTTCAACTGCAGTAGCTTTACATGCTAAGCAAATACGGGCTCTTTTTTGGCGGGGACAAGGCAAGTCGCGACCAGTTGTGCTCGTCCCAGGTTCTGTCTCATGTCCGCCACAATATTTAACTGTCTTTTTGGTCTTTTTTTTTTAATTTTTCTCTTTTATGGATGCCATGGTCTTAGGAAGCTTGTTTAGAGGCCAAGTTAATGGCCTTTTAAGGTGAATTGCAGTAAAATATTGCATATGTAAGAATTAAATATTATTGGGCAACAGAATTTTAGAAATACCAAAGTGGGTCATGGGCCAAAAATTGGTTGGGAACCACTGGTTTGGACTGAGTGAAATAAGAATGTATTATTCTAATGTCTTATTTCAAACTCAAATGTTGCGTGTGTGTTAAATGGTACAAGTCACTCAGAGACAAGACACACAAAACATATTCCCAAGCAAAACCATACAAAGGCTGTTATGTGACGGATATAGAATTAGCTATACTTTTATAATAATTACAAGTAACCGAATGGAAATCCTCCAATATAGCTCTGAATGATGGACAATTTTCTCATGGATGAAAAGGAGACTTGAGGAAACAGAGATGTGACTTTATAGAAGGATGCTGAGAATACCATGGATGGAAGTTGTTATGGAAAACAAGAACAAAAAAAGACATGTATTTAGAATCAGAAAGAGACAGTTGAAATTTCAGTGATATGTAACAAGGAATGAGGCTTTGGAGAATTTGGCACTCACAGGACATACTGAAGGTAAAAATCACAGAGAGAAAGATGGAGCAAACCTAAGTAACAAGCTTGTGTAAATGTATGGCAGAATATTGAGTGACAGGAAGTTGTGAGAGTCATAACCGCTCATATCCTTTTTTTCTTTAATCTAAAGAAAATATCCTCAATTGATAAATGCTAGTTTGAGGGGATATTACTCCATGCAAAGCCACTAAGACACAAGGGGTTACAGGATGTGGAAGAATTAGGAACAGAAACATTAATAATGAGCAGAAAGAGGAAAGAGTAATCAGGAGGACAGTTGCATTTAGATTTTTCCAGATTAAAGTTGGCAGGAAAGCATGGATATGGAAGAGAGTTCCACAAGCAAGAAGTGTGAGAAAAAAAACTGTTAGAATAAAAGTTACAGCTACATCTACCCAGCTCAACTGTAAATTGATGAGATCTCAATGCCAGTCTCATACTGCGCTTAAATTCAAAAAGTATAGGTACCATAATGAAGAGCTCATTTGAACAATTACCATGAATGAAAAAATATGTCCAAGGTAAATACCAGACATTTTGAGTTTTATTATTTGATCAAGAAATCTGAATTACCTATTATTTGAACTTTTCTCATATGCTTTATTTCCATTTTTTTTTTTTACCTGCATTTACCTTCAGACAGTATCTGGAAGATCATAAATGCAGAAATTATCATCTTCTGGAAATCAAATCTGCAAAAGATATACAGGCACAAGATATTGTTGCTATATTTTGACCAGTAATATAAAGGCAAAATGTATGGCAGGAGTTGCAACATCAATTAAATAGAAATTGATGCCTGTAGGATGCAGTGGAAGCACTCAAAAAGTGTTATCATTAAAATAAGTAACACTGCCTTCTGGTTTTGAATGGGGAGGAGAAGGGGACAGGAAAATTTTTTTTAAAAAAACAATGTTCTGTCGACTCAGTGTAGTACATCCATTTAAGAAAATATCAGCAGCATGCACAAAAATGTATGATGTTATTGATCTATATGGTTGGTAAATGAGTTGAATTAATTGTATACAAGAATACCCAAACATATATAGATATTGAATGTTTTCATTCAACTTAAATATTTTTTCTTGTGCAGATACATAAACAAAAACAGAATTAAATAAATAAAACAGAATTAGAGAGAAAAAAAAACAAAATTGGGTAGAGAGATAAAAGTAGAATTCAATAAAAAAATTAGAGATGTAAACAATTCAGTTTAGAGATAAAAACAATTAGAGAGATAAAAATTGTATTGGATAAATAGAGAGATAAAAACAGAATTGGATCGAGAGATAAAAACAGAATTAGAGAGATAAAAAAAATGGAATTGGATAGATAGAGAGATAAAAACAGAATTAGATTTAAAAACAAAGTTAGATAGATAGATAAATAACAAGATAAGAACAGACTGAGATTGCTCAATCTTCCTCTTCTTGTATGTTCTGTGTCTCTTCAGGACATAGGCAGTTATGGCTCTACACATTTCCATGTCCTTTGTAGCCCTTAGTAAAGTTTGTCTTCTTACTATCTCTCCTAAATCCTGTTTAACCATCCATTTACACAAGCTCCTTAGGTAGGTTATGCACTTCTTTCCTCTGTCCCTCTTGCTATCAATATGTCCTGTTAGTTACAAATTTCTAATT